TGCGCGCGCCCTAACTTGTCACCTCAGGCCACTCATCAGGAAAGAGGGGCAAAACATTTTAATGATGGGAAGACATTTAATGTGTTTATTCCCCACTACTTTTGCAACTGATTAAAATGTGTTTACACTTCCGAGCAAAGGTGAACGACATCCCTGGAGGATGGCCACAACTTCTAAGGCTTCCTCAACTAATAATTGTTCGACAAGCCTTAGAACAACTGTTCTGGTTCAGCTAGAGGCCCAAAATGCCAATGCCCAATCAATACAAACTCACTCTAAAAAATCTAACTTATAAAAGTTTTCACTCATGATACTAAAGGTACATTTTTTTATCTTCATTTTTTACCACACTCATCTTGAATTTTGAAATATCTTAGACGTTAGAGTGCTAACGTTATAGGTCTATCTCAGGATCGACCTTAACCACAGTGTAACCAGACCCACGACCTTGGGCTTAAAAAAATAGTGTCTTAAAACTTTTAGTGATGGACTTTGTAAATTAAATTGTAATATGATTATATAAACGAAAAATTAATATATATATATTACATCTACAACTTAATGAAAGGAAGATTTTGCTACAAAGTTGAGATCGTGTATTCGAACCTTGACTAAGTCGAGATTTAAGTAAATCGGAACATATATCCAAAGTGAAGTGGCATATTTCACCTGTAGTTGCCATCATTAAATCCAAACAACTCAATTTTTCAATAATATATCAAGGAAATTTTACCCCATACCCCTACAATTATACTCATACCCTTACATTAATATTTTTTGGACCAAAATACCCTCGTATAAAACTTTATAATTTTTTTCATTTGTTCACCGGAAGATTTTTTGCAAGTCTTCCGGTTCATATTTTTTCTTTTGTTCACCGAAAGACTTTTTGGAAGTCTTCCGGTTCACATTTTTTTCGTTTGTTCACCGGAAGACTTTTTGCAAGTCTTCCGGTTCATATTTTTTTCGTTTGTTCATCGAAATACTTTTTGGAAGTCTTTCGGTTCATGTTTTTTTTTAATTTTAATTTTTAATATTGTCAATTATAATTTTTTTTATTTACTATCCTATCATATAATTTATTAAAAATTAAAATTAACATTTATATAATATTGTCAAATATTATAATATTTTTAATCATCTTAACGTTGGTTTTTTAATTCTATTCATGAATTCAAATCAAAAGTAGAATATATAATATACAATTATAGTTCTTAGTCATTTAATTTTATTTAATCCAATATCAAAGAATTATTTTAAGTTTCTAGATTCAAATATTGACCGAAACTTATATTAATCATTCTTTAAATTATCAGTATTTGAAAACTATATATTTAAGGAAAAAATCTGAATTCATTGAACAAGCAAAAAATGAGTTGATGTCCAATAATAAATTTTTTAATATAAAATAAATGATGGAGGAAAAAACAAACACATAATATCAATAATTTATTTTAAAATTTAATAGTTGAGATTCATTCTTATTTTCTTACATAAAAATAACTATTATATATATATATATATATATATATATATATATATATATATATATATATATATATATATATATATATATATATATATATATATATATATATATATATATATAATAATAATTACAATAATAAAAAACTTAATAATATTGATAATAATAATAATAATATAGTCCCAACAAGCAAATAATGAAAAAGGTTATGATCTATTTATTTTTTACTCACTTGTCTCAACTATTTTATTAATAATACTTTTATTCTAATTTAAATTATCAGTATATGAAAACTATATATTTAAGGCAAAAATTTGAATTTATTGAGTAAGAAAAAAATAAATTAATGTTCAATAATAAATTTTTAATATAAAATAAAAGATGAATGAGAGAAGAAAAATGACACATAATATCAATAATTTATTTTAAAATTTAAAAATAAAAAAAAAATAAAAACATGAACCGAAAGACTTCCAAAAAGTCTTTCCGTGAACAAACGAAAAAAAATGTGAACCGGAAGACTTTCAAAAAATTTTCCGGTGAATAAAAGAAAAAATATGAACAGGAAGACTTGCAAAAAGCCTTCCGGTAAACAAATAAAAAAAATTATAAATTTTTATATGAAGGTATTTTGGTCAAAAAAAAAATTTATCTAAGGGTATGGGATAAAATTTCCATATATCAAATGTTAAAATTATATTTGTTTATGGATACACAGCTTTAACAATTGCACCTAAATGTCACATGTCTTTAGATATTTTTGGTTTATAAAAAAATTGTTTGCTAAAAAATATTTCATTGAAGTAAACTTGATCTGCCAAAATAAAGTAAATAATAATAATAATAATAATATTTATAGAAGTAGTTAGACACATCAATTAAAAACTTAGAAAATATAGAAGTAATAATAATAATAATAATAATAATAATAATAATAATAATAATAATAATAATAATAATAATAATAATAATAATAATAATAATAATAATAATTTCATAATAATAATAATAATAATAATAATAATAATAATAATAATAATAATAATAATAATAATAATAATAATAATAATAATAATAATAATAATAATTTCATAAGAATAATTTAATATTATAATAAATTTTGCCTTTAAATAACAAAAACAAAAGAATATTTTAATATTATTTTACAATTTTAATTACTTTGGAATAAATATATGCAAAAGTTGTTTTGATAATGTATTGAGGAATCAAATTAAGAAGATTCCATCCAAGGTAATAAAGAATCATTAACTTCAAATGACTCAAATATGTGAACATAATCATGAAGTCAATATCTCAACAAAAAAACAAAACAAGTAAAGGCTAAAAGGAATCTATAAGAATAATTCTTAGGAAATCTTTAGTGCGATCTTTTATATAATTCACCATTGGCTTATGGTCATTGTCCCAATTAATTTCACATATTAGATACATCTTTTGAAGGTAACAATATTATTGTAATTCACAGTAGCTGAAAATGGCATTTTCAAAAGTGACATATGTACATATGAATGCATGTTTTTTGTCATATATTGCTAATGTTCATTGCATATTCTAGAGAATATTCTTAGATACTCATTGCATCAATATGATCCTGTTATAATATTCTCATTTTATAAATCAATCAAATTCATTATAACTCCAAACTACCAAAGATGTTGCCGGTGAACCATTCAATGAATACCAATTATTATTGGTTATAACCAATACAATTGTGTGGATAAGAGTTATGCTCGATCTTGACGATCAAATACGAATACGTATGATTGAGGATTTGGAATTGTATAATCAAATTTTTGTTTTGTCATTATCTTGATTGGAAGGGTTGTACCATTTACTACAATTTGTTCATTATAAAACATTCATCTAATAGTTTAATAATCGAAGTTTCACTTTTTAAATATCAATAAATAAGATATTATTAATTTGATTACACATGAAGATATTTTTCCACAATTATCAATTTAATTGAATTAATTATATTATATTTTTGGGCATTAGATATTTGCAAACTGCACATATTCGTTATTTTCTCCTTGTTATCTCTATTAACCGTCTAAACCAGTATATGTTTTCAATAGAGTATCATATCGTATCATCTTTAAATATTTGTTTTATGATTCTCTTATTTCTTGTCGATAAGGTTTGTCTTGTATACCGTAAGGCGTGCTTGAATATATTTGGGGAACACTAGGGATGACAATTGTATTCATCTCCAATGGGTATCCATAAAATTTACGCACAGCGAATAGAGTAAAAACTCACAAAATAAGTACTAATATAGACAATTATCTACTAAAATAAACGGGTATAGGTGCAGGTATGAGTATCTTAGTACTCAACCCGTCCCATATCCGCATGATATATATTTTTATATTTTTTATTTTCATTACTGTGTAAACATGTTAATCTAAAATTTTTATTAAATCTATCACTATTAAATTTCTACGCATTTTAATACAAATGTTTGTTTATTTCTTAACTCAACAATAACATCCTCAAATTTGTTTAAATGTTGTAAAAAGTTAAAATGATATGATAAATTATAATTGATTAATCATTTTTTATTAGCAATATTGGTAAACGGATATGAGTATGGGTACTTAGATATCCATAGGATACGAGTACAAACATTTGTACCCACGTGGATATGGGCTTGGGTACGGAAAAAAATTTTAAACCATAGGTTTGGAGAAGAATACTATAGTACCATGCGCAAACTCTGTCTATTGTCATCCCCAGAGAATACGCTATTCATGTCAAAGAGTTTCTAGAATTCAAATATCGACATGATTTAGTTAGAGGTGTCTTATTTGATATATTTAGGTGTGATGGGAATCTATGAAGAAAAAGGCACCTGTAAATTTCTTGACTGACCCACAAGAGAGGAGATCAACTCTTAGGCCAGCAGATGTTTTGGTGTACGGGTTGGTAGGAAAGAAACATACATGTGTAAATTTGACCGACGTTTTCCTACGGAGGAACTGAGGAATGAAGGTTTACTGTGGGACATGTAGCTCTCAATGTTGTTTCATGTAAAGTGGTCAAGCATGAAAAAGCGTGTTCCGACAATCAACATGCTCTCATACTATTTGTCTTTGAAATTTTGATTTTCTAACACCAGAAATAGGGAATCTGTAATAGAGAGTATAAAAGCTCTTGTATAGCAATGTTGTGTTATATGCTCATTCATATCATTCCTCAAATCTGATCTTGTTCTAGCCATCCAGATTTAAAAACACTGTTGAAAATGCTTCCAACTTTAAACTTTAAAATTGCATTTCACCTTGTTCTACAAAATAGATAAACAAGGTAATAGTCCCCTAAGAAAAGGTGTGACTTATTATTCAACATCAAAACTGTCACTTTGCCGAGTATTTTAACTCTATAACTTAAATCACATACAACATGAAGAAACAACATTATACAACAAAAAATATATCAAAGAACTTTCTACAACAATATAGTCCCAGAACTTTTATATGTTTATCAAAACTCAAAAGCCATGAGTAGTATGTGTAGAGGATGATGAAGCAGGTGAATTTGAATGAACAGCACCTTCACTGTTATTATTATTATTACCCCTTTCTTCCGAGATCGAATTCTCAAACTTCTTAAACTCTGGCTTCTTAATTGTAGCAACCGGAGGATGTGTGGCCACCGGTGCGTAAATTCCAGAAGGTGCAACCACCTTTGTCATTTCCCCTGATGTGGTTGATGAACCTACCCCACCATATTCTGTTGGCTGGACAAAAATATTTCCTACAAGGACAAAAGGTGTTGCTGTTTGTGATTTGCCACTTTCGTTATTCGTTGAACTCGGTCTTCTTGTATGTAATCGGTATTTCTGTGCAAAACAGAAAACGTTTAGGCTTTGATTCGGAATACGGAACAGTTATTTGTAACTTATGCAACAATATAAATTATCAAACAAGATGAAACAAGATTCAATATCAAGCAAAAACATTGAAACTAACTAGAGAAGAGAAATCAAAAAACAAAGCAAATACTAAAACCAAAGATTTGGGAAGAGAATTGCATATACGAACCTGTAAATGGCTTTTGACTTCATCATTTGTAAGACCGTCTACGTTCATTAGCTCTCTGATTTGCTTTGGCGTGGCAGCTGCGGAATAGAACCCAACAGAATATTACATATCTAACATCGTAAACACGTAACAATCAGAAGTTTGTACTATATATATTAAGATACTCACAATCTGCACCTCCGAGTTGTTGAAGTGCTTGCAAGAAGCGTTTGTGCAACTCCTGCGACCAGCACCGTCGCTGCTTTCTCTTTTCCTCTTTATCCTCTCTTTTGTTGTTTCCAGCATTGTTACTAGTGACAGTGGCGGCCACATTAGAACTCGCAGCAGCTACACCAGTCGAAGAGGGCTGTCCTTTACTCAAAAACTCACATGTCTTGTTGTTAACTCTTTCATCTTTTTGGAATGGATGAAAAGCGCCACCAACACTTCCATTTCTCTTCAATTCTAACACAGACACTTTCCTAGTAGCATCCTAAACAAATTTCAAACATCAAAAAAAGGTCAATTCATTGTTCATTTTGTTCCTTTTAATTTAACACAAACAATTGACAATTAAATTAAGGTTTGATTTCATCATTACCTCCTCAGATGAAGGATCTGAATTCCATAACTGAACAGATCTAAGCCAGTCAGATTTCTTCTTATCAGAATTCTTATTATCATCCATTGAAATTTTTTGCTGCTTATGATGAGAAGAGTGTTGCTCATCTTCTTCTTCATCATCATCATCACACACTTGTTCACAATAAGGAGAAGCCCTTTTCTTAATCGGAATAAACTCTTCCAAAACAGGTCCTGTTGATGTTGTCTGTTCAGAACACTCAGATTGTCCATTCAAATTATACTCAGTTGTTGTTCCAGACAATTGCTGTCTACAAGTTTCAATAGCTACATACACATAACAAAAAAAAAACAACCTTAAGAATTTCAACAAAAAAAAAACAACCTTAAAAATATGAACCAAAAAAAAAACAACCTTAAAAATCTCAAAAAAAAAAAACTCAAATCAAGGTTTAAAAAAAAACATACCCAGAAACAAAAGATTGAAACTTTGAGTCATATCTATATCCAAAAACAAAAAAGAAAAGGGTACCTTGTGTAACGAGTTCTAAGGAAAGTGGAAGTTCCTTAGGAAAGACCTGAATCTTACGACGTTCTTGTTCTAATGCTTGGATGTAATCAGAGAAACCCATTTTGAAACGTTGCATTGTGAGGGTGGAAGACATGGAAATTGAGAGGAAAGGTGGTGTATGTGAAGAATAAAATGAGAATGGCGTATTGTGGAAGCAGCAGAGAGGTGAGTGGGGATATCGATGAAGAATATGGGATCTGAGGAGAATCAAAAAATGGAATAAAAATAATAAATAAAGTTTTTAACAAAACAAGAAAAAGAATGAAAGGAGAAAAATTCTCAAGAGAGAGAGAAGAGAGAGAGAAAATGAGACAGTTCGCGAAGAACTCGGGAAAATATTGGGGTCGGGGCGTCGCGTATAAAAAACAGAATCTTTCATGCATTTTATATTCTTTATTCAAATGTTTGGATTTTTCTGTCTTTTTTTCCTTTGGAGTGAAAGGGAAATATACTTTTTCTTCTAATTTTGGATAAGAATGAGAAAATCAATCTACAAATTGTAGTTTAGTTTAGAGGAAATAATTTAAAACTAGTATCATTTTCTCTCTTATTTAAATAATATATATATTTTTAAATTATTTTGATTTTTCAAATTATTTTTTAAATTATCATTTTTTATTTAAAAGTATATATAGTTAATTTGATTAATTAATAATTTTTGAAGGTAACTAAGAATCGCATATACCAACAATAATCATATTGTTTATTGGATAAAAATGACATGCATATCCAACTTTATACTTGTATGAAAAGTTGAATATTTTATTATTTTTTTTATTTGTGGATAATTTGAAATATTTTATAAAATTATATGCATCATTATATATTTTTATTTTAATAACTTATCTATGTTTTGTCTCATATAAATCTCAGGATATAAAAACATATTTACATATTTTATCGTCATATATTAAAATATCCAATGTATATTTATCAAATAAAAAGAGCTAATGTTTCGTTAGTTCTTTTCATAATCTCTTTTAAATAATGCATAATATTCATTAATTTGACATTACTCATTTTCTTTTTTAAAATTGGAATATTTATTAAACGTGAAGGAATAGTTCAAAAGGACATAAGTCATGTTAGTTACGTAAATTTTAGGCGGACGTCTGACGAATGGTTACGGGTTATGTGAAATAAGACAGAACTTTAAGGCGCCTAAAGTTGGTTTAGGATGTCCAAAATGTGTACAAAAAGTCGTTGTATTAGGTCTGGAGCTAGTCACCTTAACTTAACCATGTTTCTCTCTTAATTCAACAGATGAGGTACCTGGTATATGTGAAACCATTCAAGCAAAGGGGGGATTGCCTCATCCTCGATTGCAGGAAGGATTTGGTCTTCTCGCTCCCACATATTTGACCAAAAGAAAGGGAAATCGCTCTTCTGAGTGTCTAATCTAAATCTAGAGTCGTTTATATATATATATATATATATATATATATATATATATATATATATATATATATATATATATATATATATATATATATATATATATATATATATATATATATATATATATATATATATATATATATATATATATATATATATATATATATATATATATATATATATATATATATCCTGTTCCTTGAAAGGGAAAGGAAGGACAAAATTTCCCTAAAAAACACATGTATAGGAGAGCTCCACTACTCTTACACGGGTGAGCTCTCAACGCATCACAAACCCCAAATCTTAAACAGCCATAGACAATTAGGGTTTGTCAATCATTATTTGTTTAGCAGTATACTTAGCACCCACATTGGACCCTAGTGAAACTGACATGGGTCATCCTCATGATCAACGATCAATTCACCGCTTGCCTTCATCATCTTTTCCAATATGGTAAACATGCGAGCAATTACTTTTGTTGGTAGTAGTTTTGGAAATGACCATTAGGTAATAGAGAAGATGCATGTTATTATGAACGATTTGTGTCGCCACAACCTTACTTTAGAGGATAAAATCCTTAATCTCCTACATCGCCTACAAAAGACAGATCCTACCTAGGAGACAAAAATTTTGGATCCCTAACCTCTCTTTGATGATATTTGGGGAGTCCCATATCAGAAAGCTTCAAGTCGCCTTCCCTCACAGAGTTTGATGGAAGAAGCAATCTCTAGGAGTATGTCATCTCCATTAACATGCAAATGAAGATCACTGAAGCCTCCTCATTGAAGTGTAAACTCCTCTCCAACACCTTCATGGACATTGCACTAAGGTGGTATATGAATTTATCACAATTGTCAATTAATAGCTATTAGGACCCGATGAAGAAGTTGGTCCCCCAATTTTCAGCGAGAAGACACGAAAATATGTCTACCACAAGCATGTTCAACATTCTCTAGGGGTCTTTAGAATCACTAGGGACTATTTTACCTGTTTCAACGAGACGAATATCAAGATCATTCATCTGAACTAGGAAATGTTCATTGGAGCATTCCATAATGGATTGAGGGTCGGGCACTTTAATGAATCCCTTGCCCAAAAATCATATGCTTCCATGGCAGAGGTCGTGACGCACACAGAATGTTACATACAAGGTGAGGATAGAAACACTGAAAAGGTATAGATATGTCGATGAGCGAGCGTTTAGAAATCTTAATTCGTTATAGTAGAAATGCAAAAGCCATTACACCTTACCTATCAGGGACATGGAAAATTTCAATCGTAGTGGGAGACCTGTCGAGAACATCACACCCTAGAATACTCATCGTGAGTAGATATGAAGTGAGGTTCTCCATACTGATGATATCCATTATTTGTTGGCCTTAAAGTCTAACGTTATAGGACCTGAGCCCGACTGATGGTGTAAATATCTTAAGGCAATGGGCAACACACAAAGGATGGTTACCAACTAAATAAAGAGAATGAGCGACTTATTGAAGAATGTTACCTAAAGAAGTACGTTTGAAGCGGTTCCCACCAATCACTATGCGACTTCGTACCTCAGAAGCAGGATCCCCCTGGGAGCCCTAGGTCTAAGAAAGGAAAATATCCAAGCATAGAAGACAAAGATAAGTCAGTACACAATACCCTTAACACCATAGCATGAAGGTTCGCTAGGGACAGAGAAACTAGCTCCGCTCGTAGGAAATATGCTTGTCAGATCATGACAGTGGAAGGTTTACCCACCAGCTCTGATTTGGGCTCGAAGAAATGTTGGAGTTCATGATCACTTTCTAATGGAAAGGCACCACTAGAATTCATCCATGTGACAACGACCTCGTGGTTATAACCATGAGGTGTGACAACTAGGAAATCAAGCTAGTATTAATTGAACAAGGGAGTTATGCAGATATTTTCTACTAGGATGCCTTTGAAAGGCTCCGTTTAGATCCATACAAACTTAGAGATTTCTAAGGATCATTGGCTGGATTTTTTAGCGAACAAGTGCATGTAAGGGGCTACATCCCCCAAAAAAAGTATGTCCAGTCTGGATGAAAATGCAAAGATGATCAAGATAAGATACCTCATAATATACGTCATTTTCTCATACAAAAAAATCATAGAGCTCTATGCCTTAAAAATCTTAGGGAACCTCCCTGACAATGTCATATCTGTATATGAAGTACCTGCTTCCCAACGGGCTTGTGGGGGTTGTTCAAGGTGATCAGAAGATCATCTAAAGGTGCTATTAGGAAAAGTTGAAATTAAAGAAAGCGATTATAGTCGTGGCCCATGATCAATAACTAGACATGCAAGAAGTGAATGTTATGGATTTTAAATCAGGAGCGGAGTCATGAACGGAGAAGATGGCACATCTGGACTAACATGCCGCCAATCAAAGTGACCATGCTACAAGAGTTGAAAAGGATAATTTGGCCACATTATTCTAGAAGAGCATGAATTTATCAGGTAAGGGTATCGAGGCAAGCTCAAGGGCTTTATAGATTTAATGTCATATTTTTATTTAATTATGTTATCAGTTTGGTTGATTAAGTTGAGGTGTCACATCTTCCAATTGTATAATTTCTTGTAAGGACGTGGTTTGTTTGTAATAATGAGGTGACACTCTTTTCCTCTACACGACAGTGGTTTTTAATAAGGTGCCTCACATTTTTAAAAATTTGTGTACACCTTTGTTTTCATTTTGTAAGATATATGTGAATGTAATGTTGGATCCTCAATGAGGTATCCCTGCCCTCCAAGTGGAAATATGTTATATTGGATCCTTAACGAGGTATCCTTGTCGCCTAAGTGGCAATATGTTATGTTGAATCCTCAATGAGGTATCTTTACAGCCCAAGTGGAAATATGTTATATTGGATCCTTAACAAGGTATCATTGATTTCCAAGTGGAAATATGTTATGTTGGATTCTCAATGAGGTATCCTTACCGCCAAAACTCCAAATCCCCAAATGATACTTATGGCTACCTTTGAAGGCAATTGTACAGTGATTCTTAAGCGAAAAATTCTTACTAAGCTCTTTCTGAAAGGATTTGATTGCCTTGAAGACTCTCTCGGGTAATACACATTAAGAAAAAAAATAATACGACATACATATAATTAAATCGTCTGAAAGCGTAAAACATTATATTTATAAAGCATTGAAGGGGAAATATTACAAATGCCCTCGAAAGGCAAGAGTTACATAAACATCAAAGGGAGAGATTACTAAAATCTCAAACGCACAAGATTACAAAGAGTCATTAAGGGTGTGAATATGAATAAACAAGAGGGGAAACATTACAAAGAAATAAAAAAACTTAATGCATATTTTCTCCTAGAACTTTCTTCTTAACATGAACCAAACAACTTGCATTTTCCTTTGGGTCATGGGCAATATCTTCAGGGACCCCATCTTCCTCATCCATAAGATAGTCATCCTTGACAATCTTGAAGAGATCCAACTTGCTGAGATGCAGTTCAAGGTATAAAAATATCACTTGAGACTTCACCTTTTAAAATCTTTAGTGAGATGTTTCGTGTAGAGATCTTCAGTATGGGCTGACTCTTTTAAAGTGGTCGATTCATCCATCACTTGGGCTAACTTCTCTTCCAGCTTCTTAACCTCCTCACCTTTATCTTTCTCATACTTCTTCAGCTTGTCTCGTTCCTCGCAAATTGACTTCAAAGTTTTAGC